GTCTCTATGTCGCGGATTGCGGACGTGGGGCCCGTTGGGGACTCGCTCCGAGCGCGAAGACGAAGAAGGCGAAGCGCTGCTGGTGCGGCCGTATAGGGTTGTGGTTACGGCAGCCTGCATGTCTTCCAAAGACAGGTAGGAGCCGGTACGCTGAAGGCCTGTACGGGCAGCTTTGCGGGGCGGTGGCGAGGAGAAAGACATGGTGCGTTTACGGCTAACAGGCTGGGTCGAGGGGGTGGGTGTCGCGGCGAGGGTCGAAGAGAAGGCCATCGACGACGGAGGGGGTTTAAGTGATGTCCCGGGTGATGGTGGGACGGAGGGCAGTGATGGAACGGAAGACAAGACAGCTCGGGGAAGGTCCCCAGCGGATATGAGTCCGTCGCAAAATGAAAATCACGTGCGAAATTGCCAAAGATGGGCCGCGCGGGCAGAGCCACTCATCGGACTTGCGGGCGCTCCGCGCTCCCCCGCAGCGCCTCGACGCCGCTCGTCCGCCTCGCTGCAGCCACGCCGCCCTTGCTCCGACCCGGACACAATGCTGCTCGATACAATCCTATCCTCAGACTCGGCCGCACGGGCCACGCCGCGCTGCCCGGTCGGCTTATCTGCAGCGTGAGCTTGGAACCTGTTGCATGGGAGTCATCAAGTGATTGGAGGTAGGTGTCAGTTGATGTTCAGCGTCGGGCTATGATGCCAACAAGACGTGAGGGCAGCTGAGACTCGTACTGTTGATATTCATTGATTCTCCCAGAGCGAGTCAACTGATCTTGAGCAGTCTGACACTCTTTCCGTTCACCCGGCCCAAGCTAGAGGAGCACTGCTTTATCGGGGGCATCGCCACCGAGTCCTGGTACACGCCTTTGCGCAGTTGAACGTCATCGAGTGGCAAATTCTGGGAAAGGGACATCGAGGCTATCCAGCAACGGTCAGACAGCCAGCCAACTTGTCGAGTTGGGGTCAGAGCGAACGAGACGGTCAAAGATAGTTCCAGACTCCCATGCCATGCAAGACTGTTGATAGTGATAGTTGCCTAAGCAGCAGAGTACAGCGAGAGATGGACTGAATTGCAAAGACAAGAAGAGCAGCGGTGGTCGTTGGATGGTCGTTGGGCGGATGAGAGCAAGCACGAAGAGAACTCAAAAGAGCTACGCGCGCTATGTATGAACATGAGGCAGATTCGAATCTCTCCATTTCCAACTTCGCGCTAATTTGCGGGGGGATCGACGTACACTATCTTATCTTGCCATGGTCGACGAGCACGGGCAGGAGTGCGTGAGGCTCAACCTCGAAGACCGAGTGCACCAACTCGGTGATCTGGCCAACATCCAGCTACCCTGGTCGGAGTTGTGAACGTTTGCGATGAGGATCTCTCCCAGGGAGGAGGCGAAGCTCCTGCTGCACCAAGTATGCTCACGCCCTTCTCCTATTTCCGCAACGAGTTAACCCCGACATAGGCAGGCTTTCTCGCGCAGAAGCGTCTCGCGCGGGGATTGCAGCTGAACCAAACAGAGGCCGTCGCGCTCATCGCTTCGCAGCTGCAAGAGCGCATCCGCGATGGGAAGCACTCCGTAGCCGAGCTAATGCAGCACGGCAAGACGCTGCTCGGCCGCAGACACGTCCTTCCCGGTGTTTCCAGCCTCTTGCACGAGATCCAGGTGGAGGGCACGTTTCCAGACGGGTACGTATCATGCCACTCCGCCACTCACAGACCACTTCGTCTGATCCTCAACCTCGACAAGCGTCTTCCTAGTTACCGTGCACGACCCCATTTGCAACGATACTGTCGAGCTCTCACATGCGTTGTACGGCTCATTCCTGCCTGCCCCTCCGGACCATGCCTTCCCGGTGATCGACCCGGACGAGTATTCTCGAGCCAAGGCTCCTGGAGCAGTCATCGTCAAAAGAGAACCAATCGTTATCAACCGCGGACGCGAGCGCGTCAAGCTCCGTGTCACAAACGATGGAGACCGCCCGATCCAGGTCAGAACATTCAGACCCACCGCCTCCGTATCACACGTTCTGAGGTACCACTTACGATCAACAGGTCGGCTCCCACTACCACTTCATTGAGACCAACAAGGCCCTCGTCTTTGACAGGGCGAAGGCATACGGCAAACGGCTTGACATACCTGCAGGCACGGCTGTGCGCTTCGAGCCTGGTGACAGCAAACATGTCACCCTCTGCGCCATTGCGGGCAAGAAACTCATCACAGGCGGGAATCGCCTCGCGACGGGCGTGTTCGATCCTGCAAGGACCGATGAGATCGTATCAGCTTTGGTACAGAGGGGCTTCGGACATACACCCCAGCCTGGTACGCTTGAGATCACCGTGGACACTACTGTCAGCAGGGAGTCGTATGTCGCCATGTTCGGACCTACTGTCGGCGACCGAGTGAGGTTGGGCGACACTGAGCTGTGGATTGAGGTCGAGCGCGACGAGGTACGCCCATGCGTCCCTCGGCACTTGACGTCTCTTACATAGATCTGCTCAGACTGTCTACGGGGATGAGGTCAAGTTCGGTGGAGGTAAGACGAAGTCCGCAGTGCCGTAGTCGGTTGATTTACGTGTTTCCCTTGCAGGCAAGACGATCAGAGAGGGCATGGGCCAAGCCACCAACCGGTCTGAGGCAGATTCCCTTGACCTTGTCATCACCAGCGCGTTGATCGTCGACTGGACCGGGATCTACAAGGCCAGCGTTTCCGTCCGGGGATGAGCGCATATATGCTCATTTTCTTCCATGCACAGGCAGACATTGGGGTCAAGGGCGGCCGTATCGTCGGCATAGGCAAAGCGGGCAACCCAGACGTCATGGCAGGCGTGCACCCAAGCCTCATCGTCGGCTCCTCCACGGAAGTCGTCGCCGGGGAGAAGCTCGTCGTCACCGCGGGCGCGATCGACGCACACGTGCACTACATCTGCCCGCAGCAGGTTACGGAGTCGCTCGCATCGGGCGTGACGACGATGATCGGCGGAGGAACCGGGCCTAGCGCGAGCACGAACGCGACGACGTGCACGCCGAGTCCGTTCTATATGCGGCACATGCTGGCTGCGACGGACACGCTGCCGATGAACTTTGCGTTCACCGGTAAGGGAAATGACTCCGGTGAGACCGCACTGGAGGAAATTGTGAAAGCTGGCGCGGCCGGATTGAAGCTGCATGAGGATTGGGGCTCGACTCCGTCTGTCATCGTGAAGGCTCTGGATGTCGGAGACAAGTATGATGTTCAGGTACGTCTTGATCTCAGACAGGAATTTGCATATGCTAAGACGAAACGGTTAGGTGAACATCCATACTGATACACTGAATGAGAGTGGATTTGTCGAAAGTGAATCCTTTACTGCTTCCGGGTGATTCATTCTAAACCATCTGACTAGGTACCATCGAGGCATTTGGTGGACGAACAATCCACACGTACCACACGGAAGGAGCAGGTATACTGTGCCCCCATTTCAAAGCCGCAATTCCTTGACGTTCTGACAGGTGGCGGACATGCGCCGGATATCATCGTTGTGTGCGAGCACGAGAATGTTCTTCCTTCATCTACGAACCCCACGCGGCCGTACACCAACAATACGCTCGATGAACACCTTGACGTGAGTCATATATCGAGAAATTTTTGAGCATACACATCACGGACATCCGACAGATGCTCATGGTCTGCCATCATCTGGACAAGTCTATCCCGGAAGATCTCGCATTCGCCGAATCGCGTATTCGCGCGGAGACCGTAGCCGCCGAGGACGTCCTGCACGACATCGGCGCGATCAGCATGATCAGTTCCGACTCGCAGGCGATGGGCCGCGTCGGTGAGGTCATCAGCCGCACCTGGCGCACCGCGAGCAAGATGCGGGACCTCCGTGGCCCGCTGACCCTCGAGGGCGACATCCCCGGCCGGGACAACTCCCGCGTCAAGCGCTACATCTCCAAATACACCATCAACCCGTGAGCCACTTCGTCCCGGGTGGTCTAGCTCTCTTCTGACGCTGCAGAGCGCAGCGCGATCACGCATGGGATGAGCCACCTCGTGGGTTCGATTAACCCGGGTACGCTCGCCGACCTCGTACTCTGGAAGCCAGAGAACTTCGGCGCCAAGCCAGAAATGGTGCTGAAGTCTGGAGTCATTGCATGGGCACAGGTGCGCATCGGGCGCTCTCTATTACCAGACATCGAACGCTCACGGAGGTGTCATAGATGGGTGACGCAAACGCGTCCATCCCGACGGTCCAGCCTGTCATGGGCCGGCCGATGTGGGGGTCCCACGCCATGTCAGCTGCACTGAATTCGGTGGCCTTCGTGTCTAGCATCTCGGTCGAGCTGGAGATCCAGAAGCGCTACGGGCTGAACAAGCGCTGCGAGCCCGTGAAGAATTGTAGGAACGTCACGAAAAAGGACATGAAGTGGAACTTTGCCACCCCAAAAATGAAGGTCGATCCGGAGAGCTATGAGGTGCGGGCGGATGATGTTCTGATGGACATCGAGCCCGCGGAGCGCTTGCCTCTGGCAAGGGCCTACAATCTCTTCTGAGTGGTTTCAATCGGTGTATTATGATGTAATTGTTTGAGCACGATGATTGCAGTGTGTAACGACTCAGTATGTGTATTATAATATAGTACATGAATGTATATTCTACATTCATCTCGAACCGTAGAGAACCCGCTGGAACTTACGACGTTCGTCTAGTAGCTGAAAGGCATCGCCTCGTAAGGGCTGTGCCGGGCGTTAAGGCGATCCTTATACGAGTATATAAGGATGAAGAGTTCTCGAGGTTCGACACGCTTTGCTGGCCAAACGTCTCTCCCTCTCTCCTCTCTCTACTCTCTCTCTCTCTACCTCTCTCGCGCGCTTCCCTTGTACTACCTCTCGTTACGTTAACGTAGTTGGTAATACACACCCGTTCTACCGAACCTAACCAGACGGACTGATCACCCGTCACGTGAGCGTACCTTGAGTGACCGAACCCCTCCCAGTAGCAAGTCCGGTAACTCGTCTTGTTACAATTTGGTGGACATTCAGTCTCCTCAAACCACGCTCTTTCCCCCTTCCGACGTCGACTCCGCTGTCCCCGACGGCACCTTCCACTTGACACTCCTTGTTCAAGTACCACTCGGTGTACCCACTCACCTCGCGGCCGCCACTCCCCTCACGCTACCCACTCTACGAACACCCTTTGTTCACCCCTTTCGCAACCGGCATGTCTTCCATAGACTCTGCCTCCACTGCCCATGGCCAGATCATGCCTGCGCTCCGATCTGGCCCACACACCGCACCACCCCCGGGCGCGCCACACGCGTCCTCTCTCGGGTCCGACGACGAGCTCCCTGAGATGGTTGACGCATACACCCAAACCGACACGAGGACGTCTGACGAGTCAGCCACTCCCTCGTCGCTGGATGCCAACATCTCCTCGGTGAGTATCTCGTCCTCTGACCGCGCCGCACGGTTACCTTCGCCCACCTTTGCGCACGACCTGCGCCGTCTTCCCGAGGACGCGTCGCTGCGTGAGACGCTACACCACTTGGTTGGCGGCCAGCGTCTCGCTTTAGAGACGACAAACGTCTTTAACGAGGTAGCCACTGCGACTAAACGCGATATCGCGTATGTTTTTAAGAACACTCATGCCATTCTTTCGCAACTAGAATCCCTTGCTGACCAGACGGCACAGCATCACTCGTCGATCGCCGAGCACGTCCAGCGCGCGCTCGACTCCGAGACTCGACACTCCGAGGAGCTTGGTTCCGATCATCACGAGATACGCTGCCGCCTGGACGACATACAGCACGCCGTGGACGACCTACGGAACGACAACAATTCTCGCTCGTCCCGTCGACACAGTACATCACACGAGGGTGATGCAACAGGCGCATCAGCCACGTTCTCAACGACCACACGAGGTGCAGGGCACACCCCGCCTTCGCCTCGGCCAGGCCATGCGGGGACGCAAGCCGATCCAGCGCAGGAGGTGCCGGGATGCCTCTGTAAGTGCAACTGTACCGAGAACACGGACGTTATCAGACGCGATATCTACAGGTTGTCAGACATCTGCGTCAACCTTCCGACACGGTCCTCGATGGCCCAGGAGATCAGCGCATGTATGTCAGAATTGCGTGATGACCTGACCGAAGCTGTCGCATTGGTACGTTCCGAACTTCTTACAGCCATACAGCAGTCCTATACGCAACCGCAGGCACCCCCGACGCAGCATGCGCCACACGTTTCTTTTGCATCGCCGCTCACGGCTGACTCACCCCTGTCAGCGCGATATCACGAACCGCCCCACTTCCACCATCTTCGCTCGCAACAGCCGGTGCCACCGCCTCCATCGCCGCCACCTCCATCGCCACCACAACCGCAAACGTCACGGCAGGGTCCTCCAGCACCGTTCCCGTCTTCGATCTCCGGCGCTCTGGCTGGCGGTATACCACAGGCGGCCCACGTGCCGACATCGGGGATGTATACTATGCCGCAGTCAGTACCCTCTGGCTATGTACCGTATTCATACGCTCCTACGAACCCATACACCGCGCTATCCGGTACAAGTAGTTCGAACAATGAAAAAAACAAACTGAAGCATAGTGACCTGCCGAAGTTCTTCGCCAATGATGGTGATGATATTGACGATTGGATTGGTCAGATTTCTAACATTGCTCGCTATACAGGTGTCGATGACAACGTAATCTTACGTTGTCTGCCTCTAATATTACGAGGTTCGGCGTTTAAGTGGTTTAACACACTATCGCAGACTGACCTAGCTCAACTCACAAGCTGGTCAGATTGGCAAGCGATATTACGCCGAGAGTTCCGGAAGGCCAACTACGACGTTAGCATGGCGGAACAGCTTCGCATGCGTCGCTGGCACAAGGGCGAAACATTCTCCCAATATTACACTGACCGACGGAGGTTGCAGAACGCTGTATTAGGTGAGTCAGCGACCAGTCAAACATTAATCAGTGACCTTCTGCTCGGCATACCGCAGAGCATGCATGCGCTCATCAAAGCGGGTACGGGATACAACGCTAATCCGGCGATCTCTTTGGCCGATTTCAAACGGTACGTAATGGACATGGAGCTGGGATTGTTGGCGCAATATGGACAATTCCGATCTAATCCGCCGAATAACAGTTCCGCTCATACAAACAACGCAATCTCTTCAGGTCCTTGGAGACCAAGGAACCAGCCTTCAAGAGGGGGTAACTACTCCCAGAACAATACAAACAACGGGAATACGAACCAACCACGATGGCAGAATCGCGATCGCGACTGGTCCAATAACAATACCAGTACGTCTCAATCGAAAGGCACGAATTATAACCCTACCTCTGGGTATCGACCGTCTAACCCATCTGATAACAACAGTCAGAGACCAACTCCTCGTACCGGGTTCATCCAAAATACAACGAATTCGAATCAAAACCAGTGGAAGCGGAACACGCCAATAAATTCGAAACCGAACCAGAACTGGCGTGCGAAGACTAACACAGTGGAACCCAAGGAGTCTGATGGAAGAGACACTGAAGAACTGGCACTCACCGAAGACGAGCAACCAGAAGACGAAGCGGAAACATCATACGATCAGTATGATTCAGAGGAAGAAGGGGACGCTACGAGCCTTTCGGCAAATGCGTACCTAGTGGCCGATACAAACGCCATCATGACTCGACGAATGGTTCGCGACGTCACGGATTCCTCAGCAGGTCAGTCGCTCAACACTAGCATTCCTATACAAGGCACTACTCCCAAAAGGAGAGTTCTGAGGAAGAAGCCGCCGACAAAGCGCACCTTATCAGATCAGAAGAAGACAACTCATAAACAAATTCTTCCAGAAGTCGTAAACGGAAATGAAGACACAGGGCCGGACGCTTCCGCCTTTATGAGTAAGACACCAGCTTTTATACAGGTTGCGATCGATGGGTCTAACTCTGACAGGGCTTTTCGAGCTCTGGTAGACACAGGATCGTCAATTTCGCTGATTGATCGTTCGATACTCCAGAAGTTTCTACCGCAGGCAGTGAGACAACAATGCCCGCTTATAGAACTACATGGCGTTTCCGGTAACAGCTTTATCACTTCGTACGTCTCTCTCAATCTCACTTTTACGGATCTAAAGGGACAGAACCATATTCTCCCCACGAAGCTGTACATGAATCCTGCTCAGGACTCTCGAATCATACTAGGTAACGACTTTTTGGATTTCTACAATGCAGTCGTTAACCTGCAAAACCAACAGCTGGCCCTCCGTGCCGAGGGCGGGAAGAATATAATTATTAGTATGGTCTGCCGTAAACAGCAAATAACGACGATGCGAGTTGCAGAGACGTTCACGGTGAGAGCGTTCCACTCTGCCCAGATCCCTGCCAGAATAATAGGACCGATCCCAGCACCGCTATACTACCTAGAACCAGAACCCTTGAAAGATGGATTCAAGGCAATCTCGGCAGCGAAAAGTATAGGTAAGTCTTCTTCGCCTCAACATCATGTACAGGTTGTCAATATGGAGCCATTTCCGATGACACTGTACATCGGAGATATCCTCGGCACTGTTCATCCGTTAGTAGACGTCAGCAAGACGCCTCGAATGAGCGAGTCCAACACTGTCAGTATAGCTGATAAGAATGACCTACAGGAGTTTCGCCGAGCACTAACTGATATAGATCTGAACCCGAGCCTGACTCCCAAAGAGCGGGAACAAGTCCTCGAAGTCTTGACTCGGCATCGACACGCATTCGCATACGGATCACGGAAGTTGGGCAACACTACAGTGGGTGAAGTTCGGCTTGAAACAGGTGACTCACCTCCAATCTCGACAGCTCCGTATCACGCATCTCCTAAAGGACGGCAGATCATCGAAGAAACTGTGGCCAAGCTTCTCGCGGATAATGTTATCGAAGAATCGGAGTCGCCTTGGGCGTCGAATGTCGTGCTCATTGCACAAAAGGACAAGGTCAGATTCTGCATCGACTTTCGAAAGCTGAATGCAGTAACGAAGCCAGATCAATATCCGCTTCCACGGATTGACGACTACCTTAATCAGTTCGAAGGTAAACGCTTCTTCTCCACTTTCGACGCTAACTCTGGCTTTCACCAGATAGGTATTCCCGACGAGGCGGATCGCGAGAAGACCGCGTTTCGCACTCATCAAGGTCTGTACCAATACAAACGAATGCCGTTTGGCATACGGAATGGACCGTCGATCTTCCAACGGGCTATGGACAAAGTCTTAGGGAAGATTAAGTGGAAATTTGCTGTAGTTTATATTGATGACATAGTTGTTTATTCTGCCGATTTCGAGCATCACCTCAAGCATCTTGAGCAGGTACTGGACCGAATTCGAGCGTCCGGATTCACACTTTCATTGCCGAAGTCTCATGTTTGCTACCAAGAAATACATGCCTTAGGACACCATGTAAGTCGCCTAGGGATCGGGATGAAGGAAGAGAACGTACGAGCGATCCTACAATTTCCAGTCCCAAAGTCAGTCAAGGACATACAGATTTTCTTAGGCATGACGGGATATTACCGTCGCTTTATTCGCGATTATGCAAAAATTGCGCGCCCATTAACGGCCCTCCTATCGAAGGAGACCCCGTTTGTATGGTCTGCTTTATGTCAAGACGCCTTTGAAACTCTCCGTGGAAAGTTAGCAGCAGAACCCATATTGGCCCATCCAAACTACGAACGACCATTCCTGATCTACACCGATGGATCCAAGATAGGGATTGGGGGTGTGTTAGCCCAAATAGGCACCGACGGCAAGGAACATATGGTCGCCGCCATCTCTAGACAATTGTCTGCGGCTGAGGAAGGATACAGCGCAACAGAACTGGAGTGCTTGGCGGTGGTCTGGGCTTTACGCAAATTTCATCCATACATAGATGGAACATCAGAACTTAAGGTCGTGACGGACCATATTGCATTACAATGGATTTGGAACTACAAAGGCACGAACGCTCGTCTCAAGCGATGGTCGTTGGAGCTACTCCCATATCAACATTCAGCCAAGATTGAGCATAGACCTGGACGTACGCATTCAAATGTTGATGCACTCTCGCGTGCGCCCATACCAGAATCGGCACCACAGGAAGCTGAGATATTGACCGTGACCACTCTAACTCCGAAGTCTACGTTCTTGAAAGAGATCCAAGAGGGATACCTACAAGACGAATACTTTGCGCCCATATTAGAATTGTTTGAGCAGGACAAACCACGAGCTCACCTTCAGCACTATGAAGCCGAAGACGGGTTGTTGTTCCGTCGACACTCTTCTGGGAAAGGTCGCGTCCTGTGCATACCGAGGTACAAGGACTTACGACTCGACATTCTTCACGACTTCCATGACGCCGAAGTATCGGGGCATGCCGGTGCTGATAGAACACTGAATGCGGTTAGCCATACATACTATTGGCCCCGACTCAGCAAGGACATACGTTCTTACGTTCGCTCCTGCGAATCATGCCAACTTAACAAATCTTCTAATCAGAAGACTGCTGGGCTACTATTACCCCATGTGATTGCACCGGGCAGATGGCACACCGTCACGATGGACTTCGCGGGACCATTTGCAGGGACACCTAATGGGCTTGATATGATTATGATCGTAGTTGATAAATTGACGAAACATACCCATTTTATTCCTGTCAGAAAGTCGGACACGGCCGAAGACACTGCACAAGCATTTTTTCGTGAAGTCGTAAGACTGCATGGATTACCTCAAGTGATAATATCAGACAGAGACTCAAAATTCACCTCACGGTTTTGGCGCACTCTGTTCAAGCGTCTTGGTACAAAGCTCGCCATGTCCACCGCGAACCATCCCCAAACCGATGGCCAATCAGAGCGCATGGTACGTGTGCTCAAGGATATGCTTCGTCATTACATTAAGTATGACCAGAAGAATTGGATCGACTTACTACCTATTTTGGAGATCGCCTACAATCGAGGTGTGAACGCATCGACTGGGTTCAGTCCATTTGAATTGGACTATGGATTCACGCCACGCTTCGTCCACAATATTGCAGACAACGAGGGCGATCACTTGCCTGCGGTCGATGATTTCCTTGAGCACGTTCATGCTCAGATTCGATCTGCAGAAGACGCGATCAGCAGGGCACAGGAGAGTCAAGCGAAACACTTTAACTCTCAACGACGTGAGATGATATTCGAGGTCGGTGAGTTGGTAAAGCTTTCGACAAAGCACTTGAATCCTCCATGGCAGAAAAAGCGCAAAACACGGAAATTGCTGCCTAAATGGATAGGCCCGTTTCGCGTCAAAGAAAAGTTGAACAACAATTCTTACGTGTTGGACTTGCCTCCACAGTTCGACATACACGAGGCTATCAATTCTGAGTATCTTGAGAGATACGTAGACTCGCCTGACGAGTTTTCGAAACGAAAACGATCTATACCACCTCCCATAGTGGTCGACGGACAAGACGACCACTATGAGATTGACCAGATACTTGACCACGATCAACGCACCGATCGTCGGTCGGGTAACGTCGTACATTGGTATCTGGTTAATTTCGTGGGTATGCCTGAACACGAGCGAGAGTGGTTGACTCGCGATGAATTACGGGTTGGAGCATCTCGCATTGTTCGACAATACGAAGCGAAGCATCGAATCGTGGTTTAATGTGTTCATTTCCGAGGACAGCACAAGGATGCTCCACTCGAACAGTCCAACGACGGAAATGAACAACGGACAATGACTCACCATACTAATCTTTATTGGCAACCAGGCTCCGTCATTGAGGAACGGTAGCCTTTGCGACCTCTGAACTCGGTTCGCTGGCCGAGCCTGTTGCATTTGGTCTGCCGCATACACCTGCGATATAAGAGGCGAGGGCACTCACTAAGTTCCTCACTCCTGGTCCACCAGAAGTTTACCGTTCGCTCCTCTCCCCTTCGCTCTTCGCCCCTTTCCCCGTTCCCCTTCCCCCTTTCCCTTTCAACAACCTACACCTTTTGTCTTGTCTTCACTTCCCTTCCTCTTCGACATGGCTGCGCCTCTTCTCGACAACCTCGTTTTGGCCATCAACTCGGCCGCGTCGTCTGCTAGTCCCTCCGTCATGCCCACGATCCCCAGCGCGACTTCAGTACGGGACGACGTCGTTAACGAAGTTCGCTCACCTTTTACTCGCCCTAACTCGCCCGCCCCTTCCCTAATGTCGTTCTCTTCGATGCCGCCTCTTGCATCGTTGCCCGAGTCCGACAGCGAGCCTGGCGAGGTCGATGAAGATACCCCACTGCTCTTGAAGCCGGAACGCGTCGCAGGCGACGCACCTGTCAGGCAGCTGGGACATAGTAAGTCGAACTAGTGGTACAATGTGAATCACAGTTCTCACCCAATTTGTTCCAGTACTTGACGTGTCGGACACCACTTCGGTCTTGACCTCGTCGGACGGACAGGCCAACCTGGCCGATCGCTCCGCTTCCGCGTCTCTACAAGCACGCGACGGGAGCGACGCTGATGTCCCCATGGACGGTGACATTGTCCTAGCGGCCCGGCGGAACACACCACCGCCGTCGTACGCCGCGGTCCTGCGTCAAGAGTTCCTGCGAGCCAGTCGACCTATCGGACGTACGGAGCGCGCTGTTAACCATCCGTCTTCCACGATCGCCTCGGGGCACCCAAGAGTCTCGATCGCCGATCGTCCATGGCGCCTACGCACCCGATATTGAATGCCTTCTCCCTTTCGCCGCAGAACCTCCACGACATCCTTTACTTCCTTTCCCTCAACCAGCTCGGCGTCGCGCACGCTCTCGAGGAGATCAAGCCGTACGAGCTGAGCTCGCTCAAGGCCGGTCTTGCCGCTCTGCACGACCAATTCCTCGTCGGACGACGCTCCGCTCCCGTTCCGCCTCGACTCGCCATCAACTGGGTCCACAAGCACGTTGTTCACCGACACGGTATCGACTACTGCGTCAATAACAACCGCGAATGGCTCCGCGACGTCGACATCCCGCTTTACGCCAACGGGTTACGCGCTGTCGAGCGTTACTGGCATGGCAGCGCCCGCCGAGGACGTCCCTACCTCTTCGTACACCAGATCGACGAGTTGCGCGTCTGTGCTCCGCAGTACCACGGGAATGCGGGCGCGTTTCTTGACCACATCAAGAAGGTGGATGGAGAGAGGATAGGATCGCGTCGGTAAGGATCGAGTCGGTTGTTTAGAATTGTATATTGCGCATCTTAGCTATGCCTCACATTCTTTACACGTCATGATTCACTGATATTTCGTTGCCTTCCTTCCCTCGACTCGGAGACCTCGCTTTCTTTGTGAGGGGGTAATTGTAACGACTCAGTATGTGTATTATAATATAGTACATGAATGTATATTCTACATTCATCTCGAACCGTAGAGAACCCGCTGGAACTTACGACGTTCGTCTAGTAGCTGAAAGGCATCGCCTCGTAAGGGCTGTGCCGGGCGTTAAGGCGATCCTTATACGAGTATATAAGGATGAAGAGTTCTCGAGGTTCGACACGCTTTGCTGGCCAAACGTCTCTCCCTCTCTCCTCTCTCTACTCTCTCTCTCTCTACCTCTCTCGCGCGCTTCCCTTGTACTACCTCTCGTTACGTTAACGTAGTTGGTAATACACACCCGTTCTACCGAACCTAACCAGACGGACTGATCACCCGTCACGTGAGCGTACCTTGAGTGACCGAACCCCTCCCAGTAGCAAGTCCGGTAACTCGTCTTGTTACACAGTGGGATCCAAGCAATGATACAGTATATTCATGGTGTCCTACAGGTATTACGCGACATACAGCATACAACGAAGATGGTACATATGACTACATAGCTTTGCTTTTGAAGTGTTCTCAGAGTCCGCGATCACATACACTTGAGGGTCTCGTGCCGAATATCTTCACTGCAATCCAGGAAATGCCCACCCCTTCCCATCCTCCTGGGCCCGCCCCGCAGCACCGCGAGATTTCCAAAGGCCATACAACTGCCACTGCGGATCCGATTCAACTCGGCACTCCCGGCAAGGCATGCACCGCCAGTGCATCCTGTTACCAACAACCGGTTAGAGATCGCTTCCAACGGTACATGAACATGCACTCACCTGCAACGCGACTTGAAGGCCACTGTCACATAGGAGGGCCATTCCATCCCCCTATAGTCGCGCGGCGTGCAGTAGGACGGCCTAGGCAGCCTCGTCGTGTCTGGGAGTCCGTCGCCGAAGGTGAGGGGCGACGGCACCGGAGGTGCATTCCACTCGCCGGGCTCCAGCCTCCGTCGAACGGGCAGAGCGGTGGCCGCAGAGATCTCTCTGGACAGTTTGTTCCATTCGGCAGACTCGGCCGCTTGCAGGTTTTCCTTGTCTTCGTCGTCGAAGGGGCAGGCGACGGACGGGCGCTGTTCCTGGGGCCTGTCTTGACTGCCTGCGCTTGCACTTCTGCGCCCGATGCCCGGTGGCGGGAGGAGCAGGCCCGCGGAGCTCCAGATGTTGGCATTGGCGGGCACGCGTTGCACTGCGAGTGACCATTGGACTTGTTGCGTGCTGTCCCCCGTTGACGAGGTGCTTCGATGCCCTTCAACCGTGTTCTTGGCCGATGTCGGCTCAGCATGAGTACCGCTCCCCGTTGTTTCATACAAGACATGCCTCGGTTCTTCGACGCTTGCAGAGAGAGAAGCGTCCGAGTGCTGGTGTCCGAGGTCTCGCGTACTAGAAGTTGCCTCTCTTGCCCTTGCATTGTGCTGGGATCGATCGGGGCTTCCTTTTGATGCTTCGCGAGACGACTTGTATGTGGCTACAAAGTTGTCATTCGGGACTGAATATACCATGCGCCGCATTGGTGGCGGCGTCCCGCTGTGGCGCGAGCCAGTGGGTGGCTGCTTGCTCGTTACGTTGTCATTCGGCTGTAGGAACGCACAACCGTAGTCGGCGGACGATGCCCGGCGCGATCGACCTTTGTTTGCGGCGTCGAATGGTGGCGGCTTAGCTGATGGCAGCCGGAAGGCGTATGCTTTGGCGTGCGATAATTGAGGCGCTGAAGGCATGTCTGGTGCGCCGAGCGTTTCGCGAGGCTCCGTATCGAACAGCGTCCCGAGGGGACCTAGGTCTTTTCGCATAGTTACTTGTTATGAGGAGCGACGGGGGAAGACTGTGCTTGTGTGCGGCGTTGAGGCTGATGTCTATCCTGTACAGAGGGCCACGGTATTTATATGTGGCGGAGCGGCCTTGTGCGCGTCTGTGCCACGGCCAACGAGTCAGCCAGGCCAATGAGGGCACGTACCACACATCCATTCCTGGCAACTGAAAGGTGTGGCAGCCTGTGGCAATGCCCGTAGAAGCCATGTCTAGCCGCGCTAGCCGTCGCTTGCGAGCTGCTGTGAGTCCGCGAACATGGACGGTGCAATCAGACAAGGCGGAAGGCATCGCGAGGCTGTGCTTGTCTTCCTTGTAAGGGCCGTGGGACGCATGCAAGCCTCGTGACGCCGTGGACGCAATCTGTGATTCGTCTTGCCTCTGACCTAGAGAAGGGCGGTCACTGATGGCACGGAGGCATCGATGCGAGGCTTGCACAAAAAAGGCAAAACGGTGGTCGCGAAGCGAGGTCCACGTCGAGGACAATGGGAAGTCCAAATGGGGGGAAAGCGGTGAGTGAAATTTGAGTACAACACAGAAAAATGCACACACGCACATTTGTGGCTTGCAGACGCGTGGACCCACAACCCCCTGAATACGGGAGCCCCTAGCTGGCCGGCGCCCACAGGGACCTATCGAGCTCTACGGCGGGTGCACCTCAGCAACGTCCGCTCTGCTTGAGGAGGCGGAGAAACATGGTGCGGCGTCCTGTTCTATAAGTACATGGCCAGAGTTTGGATTGCGGGCAGCCACGGTTCACGCGTGCATCAAGGTAGTTTGAATCTCCGCACTTCGCGCGAACCCAAAGCCAACTTGAGACCACGCTGAGACGAGGCGTCTTCGCTCCCACCGCATCCTCGGCCTCAACACAACGCTGTTCCACAGTTGAATTGGCGTCGCGCTGAGGCGCGATGAGAGAAAAGAAGATGCGGTCGGCAAATGGCGACTGTGCGTGAAGTTGTCTATATAATAATAGTCAATTTGCTCTTCACGCGACGTGTACACTGTCACTTCAACATGCCAGCTGTTCAGTCGTCGTGGACATCAGGCCAGCTTAGAATTGAGATGTTTGTCTCACTTTGTTTCTACGTGAAATCAATCTGAGAATACGTTGTTCCGTCAGGGTGGACTCCCGGTGTTGGTATTCATCGAGGTCTTTGGACCTGTCGAGTATGCGGACAACAACACCGGTTCAATTTCCGGGATGCTAGACTTCATGAGGATGGAACAAACCATCAATGAACGGTGCAACAGCACCTACAACAGGAGAGCAGTACGCCTCGCGACCGAGATGCAAGTAAGTACGCCATACGCGAGTTCGGATCGCCCAGCGACGCGGGTGCACACCCTTCTGAGCGAAACTTTGGTAGACAGGCCGATTCTGTCAGAAGGACTTGGAACGAAAGGAAAGGAAAAACGGGGTACTTACCTAACTTACATTGTTTCTCGTCTCAGGGCACGGCCTCAGCGGACCGGAAGCTTGCTGATGGGTGGCCTCCGTGTCAGGTGTTGTGGTATGCGAGCGCGCACCAGAAATTGTGTTGTACCGCTTTGTGCCATCGCCCGGTCGTTCTGCGCGTCCCTAGTTGGTAAGCAAGCATTTGCAAGGAACGAGGTTGTCGAGGTACAAGGGCGGGGGATTCGAGACCTGTAGACGTCAGGGTCTGGCTGTGACGCCACGACGACAGGCTACTGAACGCAAACCACGACAGTCGCCCACCCGTCTCCCCTTCTCTTCTCCCACCTCGACCCTTCCTCGTCATGCGGGCTCCCGTTCGCATTCGTCGCGCAGAAGCCAGGCCCAAGATGCAAGCGAAGAGGCAGCTGCGACACGACGGAGGAATCGATGTGGATGGTGTCATGGTGGGCGGGAACGTAAGCGCTTATGTAAGGATAAGGGATCGGTTTGCTGACTCGCGCAGACCCTCGGACCGCTTCCCAACCTCCAGACGTCCGACAGTCCTCCTTATAAGGCCCTTCCAATGCGCCCGCGACTTTCTGTCGCGTTCTTTCACCCGCGCATCCAACGGTCGTCCTCCAGTCCGTCTGAGGCCTCAGTTTTGTACCACTACTTTCTTCACGACTTCACGTTCTCGCCACCATGACCGTCGTCGAACGCAGTGACGAGGAGACACCGCTTCTGCGCAAGGCGAAGCCGACGAAAACACCCATCCCCTGGGCACAACTCTCCATCTTGCTCGTCCTCCAATTAGCGGAGCCACTCACGAGTCAAGTCATCTCCCCCTTCGCCCCGGACGTCAGTATATTCTCATCTTCAGCGCCGCAAGCTTGCATGGACTCACTGGCAGCGTTTGGTAGCTTATCCGCAACATTGGCATCACCGGCGGCGATGAGGCAAAAGTTGGCTACTATGTTGGCCTCATGGTACGCAGTTCTACCCACGGCGCATGAATACGCGGTCTAACGTCGCAATGTTCAGCATTCCCTCTTCTTCGCCACTCAGGCCTTGACCGTCCTACATTGGAGCCGCTTGTCTGACCGCGTCGGGCGCAAGCCCGTCATCATGATTGGCCTCCTTGGACTGTCATTATCCATGTACAGCTTCGGTATGTCGCGTACCTTCTGGGGTCTGGTCGTGAGGTGAGCCCCACGTTCCCGTAGCTGTGCGGCTCGTACTCAGTCCGCTATCACAGCCGGAGTCTCAATGGAGCTCTGAACGGCAATATCGGCGTGCTGAAAAGTATGATGGCTGAAATAACCGACTCCACGAATATCGCGGAGGCGTACGCCTACTTGCCCCTTGCATGGATGACTGGCGGCACTCTAGGGTGAGTCCTCCATCTATACGTGGCCTGCAACAATCTCCTGACACATGATGAATTCTACACCAGGCCTATGATCGGTGGCTTATTATCACGACCACATGAACGATTCCCCATCTTGTTTGGGCATAACGAATTTATGGCAAGGTATCCTTATTTCCTTGCTTGTGCTGTACCTGCGACATTCTCGGTTCTGGCCTTTTTCGTCACAATGATCTTCTTGAAGGAGGTGCGTAGATCACGATCATGCGTCATTCCCCACCTAATCCAG